GCTTTCCAGCTCCGTTCTCTGGTGCAGGGCAACCAAAGGAGACCCAGCCAATCAGCTGGGACTCGGGAGGCAGAGAATAGATGGAGGCGGGGCCAGTCAGAGGTGGGATTTGACAGTTCTCCGAACTACTCACAATTTCCGCTACCGGTTCTCCGGAACTGGTCAGAACTAACTGAATAGCACCTCTGGTTACACACACACACACACGTACACGCACACACACATACCTCACTGCAAACAATGCTTTCCAAAATCCCCGGCTAAGTCATCTTTGTATCCCTTAACAGCAATGAAGGACAGGGGAAAAGAAAAATTAGAAGTTGAGAGTTACAATAAGGGCCCTTCCCGCCTCTGTCACTCAGAGGGTCTCTTGGAGATGATGCAATGGGTGGAAAGTGATCAAGGAGAGATCCAACCTGGAACTAAGAAGGAATTTCCTGACAGTGAGAACGATTGATCGGTGGAATGGGTTGCCTCCAGAAGTTGTGGGTCCTCCATCCCTGGATGGGGTGTTTTTTTTTATAGAAGAAATCGGAGAGCCACCACTTGTTTCCTGCTTGAGCAGCGGGTTGGACTAGAAGACCTCCAAAGTCCCAACTCTTCTCTTTTTCTGTTATTTTGTGATTCACTTATGAAAGCATCTCCAAGCAAGTGCATGGAAAAAAGAATCAATTCCCTATGAGATTAATATCCCTTCCCTCCGGTTCGAAGGCCACGAGGGGCCTACCTAGAATTTTCCATGCCCCATCACTGAATTTGAATAGTAAAAAGAAGGGAATCACCTGATAGGTGCAGACTCATCTCCTCTGTCCAGCCAGTCCTGTGGTGGGATGATGTACATGCACCAGAGACCCCAATTGTAGCCGTGGGCAGCGTTGGCATACTGTTGCACTTCAAAAGTATTGTACTTGATGTTGTCTATAGCAGGTAAGACAATCCGTTTGCGGTCCTCTTTAATCCGGGTCAGGGCTGGTTCCACCCTATAAAACAATCGAGATGGGTGATTTATTCATTTGGACAATAGTTAGTGAGCTTTAAGGATACCCAGCTCTACATGACTCTTTGTGGCTTAGAGTGGCTTTATTTTATTTTTTAAAAATAAATAAATTAAGAGATGAATCATAGGTCTCCAGAAGGCAAAGTCTATATAACAATCAAAACACCCTACAGGGACTCACCTATCAGCCTGCTAAAGGTCTGGGAAAACAGCCAAGCTTTCTTGATATCTCCATTTTATTGTTAGGTATTTATGAAAGAAATCTATTATGTATAGTGAGAGAATCGGCTATAGGTTGTGCAACAGGGAGAGATAACCAAACTGAAATAACATTAATTTGTTCCAAGAAGCTCATGAGATATCTCCTCATTTTGTAGTTATTTTTCACTCTAAACTCACATGTATATATTGAACATTAACTTGAAAGCACATGGTCGATACATTCAAGCCATGAAGAAAAGGCTGGAGGTATTAAACAATGCACTAAATGAAAACAGCCAAGATTTTAATGACTTGTTGAACATTTTAAGCGGAGGGAGGCAGACGGATTCCCTGGGGAATCTGGTTCCAGAGGACCAGCACAGCGACAGAGGAAGGTGTTTAAAATGGGATTGTAGACAGTCCTCATTCAGTGACTTTTTCTTTTAATGACTTTCCAGATTGAAGCTCCTGTTTCATCCCTCAACTCTCCAGAAGCCCACTCAGACAGACTCTGCTTTGAAAACGAAGTTCTCGAGCCAAGAGAAGTTATACGTCTCTGGAGTTTGAGAATGAGAGGCAGCACAGTCTTCTTTGGATGAGCTCCACCAGTCCACTTTCTACAATTTAGGCCAGACAGGAATTATATGGAGATCTTCTGGATTATGATTATTCTTCTCATCCTTTCTATTAGCTATCTATCCTTTTCTACTTATGACTATAACCTTGTTGTTTGTATCTTTACAATCTATATTGTTTTATTTAGTTTCCTAGTAAGATTTTGATTGCTTATTTAGTATTTATGATGACTATGATCATGATTTATCACTTATATCTTTTATGTATACTGAGAGCTTAGGCACCAAAGTCAAATTCCTTGTGTCCAGTCATACTTGGCCAATAAAGAATTCTATTCTATTCTATTCTATTCTATTCTATTCTATTCTATTCTATTCTATT